CTACTACTACTACTACTACTACTACTACTACTACTACTACTACTACTTACGACGACTTGCCACTACTTGCTACTACTTACTACTTACTACCACCTACTATTGTTGCTACACTTACCTTTTTTGGCTTTTATCTACTACCTGCTACCTGCAGTACTACCTACAACCACCTACTACTACCACCACTACTACTAGCACCACGACGACGACTACTACTACTCGAGCTACTGCTGCTGCTGCCGCTGCTGCTGCCGCTGCTGCTGCTGCTGCTCGTCCCACGAGTCCTGCACTCCTACCCCTCCTATTCAGCGGCTCCGTCTACAACTGCGACTGCAACTACACCTAAGACGTCCTTTGCGTTGACTTCTACGGTGATGACACGTGGCAGTGAAGTGCAGCATTTTTCTTGAGTCAGCCTGGCATGTCAGGTGGAGATGCTTCAGGGCCTATGTGTGAGAAACTTAGAAGGCCCGCTTCGACATCCCGACAAGCAGGTTGTGTGAGGTGTGACTCAGCTCCAATGAGCAATCATCTCTTTCATACCTTGTAGTTTGGATTCCCGTCACCCCTGTCATCCAAAGGAACACTTGCTCGAACGCCAATGTCCAACACAGACACCTCACCCACCAGTCACCTTAGCCTTGGTCTACAACACACGATTGCTTCTCGAATGTGGTCGATGTCCTTCATCATCGCCATCCTCCACTGAGGCTCAGCATGGTGTGGCCATTGCACCGGGCTTTGTGTCTTGGCACAGCTTGGGAAGACGGTCATTTCGTCATCCTCCCCACAAGCGAAAATACATGGGTTTTTGCCAGACCCGATCTGATGGGAGGTTTGTGGATCGATTTTCGAGGAAAACCACCACAGGTTCATTCCGTCAACACGAGGGCCGGAAGTATTGTACATCCTTGGGACTGTTTTTTCAGAGGGATGCTTGCATGTCATGTATGCGATGTAAAGACAAACAAATCTTTGGACATTCATCCTCAAGGATCTTCCCTGCGATCTCCTCACTCCAAACATTTACAACAAACCTTTAGGACGTTCCTGGATGTTCCACATGTCCAGGTCCATGAAATCGGGACGTCTCGGGGATCCGGCGGCCCGAAGCTGGCCCGGAACATCCGGGCCTTCGCCAGACCTTCAGCCTGCTCAGGAGGATGAGATTGTCAGCACGGCGAGCTCTGAATCCGTCTGACGAGCTGAAGAGCGTTCAGGCGCCGAGCTGGCGCAAGCTTGCGCAAGCTTGCGCACGAGCGCGAAGGGTCCGAGTCGACCACCTACCCGACCGTTCTGGTTTTTTGGTGGCAACGGCGAGCGCGGAGGGCGGCTGGAGGGCTGAAGGAGATAGATGGTCTTGCATCCTACTTTGGAGCTCAGAAACAGCAGTTTGTGTGGCTTGTTGCGCGTGGCTTTGTTGGAAGTTTCTTGAAGAGGGTCAAGAAACCAACAAGGTCCTTGTCTTCAGAGACCAATGCCACTTCGATGTCTATAATGTTTGATTTATGTATATTTTGTTCCAGATATATGTTTGCGTTTCCGGCAACCCAACTTGCTCCAACATTCAACAGTGACCCCGTGATGCCCAAAGCCAACACCGATGCCGGGTGGTGAAACGGATTTGCCTGCAGCAACTGGTGCCCAAACCCGTCGGCCAAAAGGCCTGCAATAGAACCAGAAGCTCCTTTGACTCCTTAGGTCCTCTTCTGCTGGGTCCCTTTTTTTGGTGGTTGCGCAAAACGAACTGCAGCCGGTGCCATTCCAACACCAACCAGCGAAAGGCTCGGCCGGGTCTTTGGTCTGATGCACGGACAGGCCGGAACCGCCTGAACCGGCCGAATGCGGACGAATGGCCTTGACGGATCGATCCGAGCGCCAATGCCTTCAGCCAATGCCTGGCCAATGTCGCAGAGTCACAAGCGGGAAAGACTTGAGGACTGAAAAAACCACCTGGGATGAATGTGCGATTTCGCTAGCTCAAGAGCGGAGGGAGCAACGGGTCGGGTATCCATATTCCCAATTGAGGCGACCAGGGGAGTTCCCCAACCTCCGACAGCTCGAAACGGCTCGAAACGGCTCAAGCCAGAGCACTTCCGCCTGCCAGCATGAAAGCACCGGGGTTCGATGGCCGTTCTTAGCTGGTGAGTTCCCTTAAGGAGCCTACTCAATGGTTTGTTAATGTTAAGATAATGTTAAGTTATTATACAGACTTAAACATCGACCACGTGATGGTCATTGTATGTCAAGGTCCCGCAGGCGCACCAAAACCACCACACTTCCATTGGTTTTTGGGACGTGTGCACGGGACCGCACCCGCTGCTGCTGGGGGTCTCGGACACAGCTCTAATCGAAGTGCATCAATAGCAGCATCAGAGGGACCGGGATTTTTGAGCCCCAGGCCACCATTTTGACCAGGCCGCCTTCCCGAAAAAGACTTCAAAGACGGTCCGAAAGTGAAAAGATCAATAAATGGATCGACAAATTGGGTCGTTGAAGCGACGGCAGATCAGACCAAGAAGCCTCATGTTCGAGAATGGGGTCGTTTTCTTTTCCAAAGTCAAGTTGAAACGTGAGTTCAGAGAGGAAATTTGTTGGGGATGCGCAAAGGTGCAAAGACAACCTCGCTATGCCCTAGATAGGGGGCCGAACTCAGGAATGGCAATCTTTTCAGATGGGCTTTTAAAGGACTCTTTTTCGCAGTCCCTCTTGTTGGACACTTGCGACCTGCCTACCAGCGAGCCTGGCAGCTTTCGTTTCGCTGGTTCTGGCTCCAATGGAGGTGTAAAACCATTCTGGACGAGATTTTATTGATCAACAGTATATATAATATATATTAAATTGTATATACCAGGACCCTCCAAGGGGTGTGTATTTAAAGCGCTTTAGCTGCTTAGATGGACACCTTTTTCCCGTGGTGCTGGTATACATTATTTTTATGTTTCCGAGTGTCAATGATTCTAGCTGGGTCCAATTCACCACAACGAATGCTGTCCGGCGTAATTCAGAATCTTCGGGGCGCGCGAAAGCGCGCGGCTGTGAGAGGGAAGGGCTCTCGGTGTGGCCGAAGTAGGCGTACCAAGGTTAACCTTTTGGATTCATGACTAGTTGTGGGAGATGATAGGCACATTCCTTAGAACCATGGATGTAGTCTGTCAGAAAACACCTCCGGCCAGTCAGGAGTTTGAGTCTCTTTCAATGCATTTGTCCGTCCACTCAGCATTTTCGTCACTCAAAAACACCTGTCAAAGCTGAATCCCCTGGTGCAAGGAACAACCACGGCGGATTCTTCGTCCGGCATCATGAGACCCCACACGGTCCACTGTCTCGGCTTGCGGAAACGGGAGGTTTGGACTCGTTTGGACTCGTTTGGACCGTCGGAACCCCGATCCAGACGGTGGTTTGGCGGAAACGGGAGGTTTGGCGGATAGAATCGGTGGTTGACCGGTGAAGGCAACGACCAACTTGACGCCCCGGCCGAAGCTAAGACGCCCCTCGCTGAGTGTTGCGATCCGTGGCGACCAGCAGGAGCTGCACGCGGTGACCGCGCGCGCAGGGCGCGTGGTTGCCGCAAGGAGCTGCGGGGAGCGAGACTTGCCAATGACCCAAAAGTCCTAAAAAGTGGATTTCGTGCGGTGCAATTCTGATGACGAATTTGGCCTGATGACATAAGATGACATAAGTGGTCTTTCTTCTCCTCACCCTGATTCACAAGTCCAACCTGTCACAACTTCCTTCAGTATATAATATGCCATGCGGCTCCAAATGACCAAATGAGGTACGACACGGCAGACCGGGGCGCTTCTCCACCGGTCTAGAAGGACCATGACTCCCGTTTGGGCGGTGGGGCCACCATCCCAAGAGGCTGTAGGGTTTCTTCCGAAACAGGACCCACCCTAGGCATCCGACGGAACCTCAGGTTCGGAACTGACTGGACCCTGCGCATACATCACAGCTCCCATCACCTGAGAAGGTACGGTTCGGGACTTTTTGAAGACCAGTAGGTCCTGCATCTTCGTGTATCTATGATCCTGTAACCTGCTGTTGGAAGCATGATTTCGTCCGTTTGATGCCCTCCCAATTTCCAGCTGCAAGGGAGAATCCTGTGCCACACATGGTCACCGTGTGGGGATGTTTGGGAAGAACCTCGCAGCCGTTGGAGTTGAGCAGTCTGTTCATTGATGAGGTTTTACCTGAAAGATGGGTTTCAATGAGCAGCCATATTCTTCAGGAAAAGAGCTTCTCATCAGTTGTTTCTTGCCTGGTGGAGGTAGCCTTCGAGGTGGATCTCCAGGTTAGCCTGGCATTCTCATAAAAGCAGCCTCCTGAAAACAAGGTATTGAGGACGGAAGATTCTTTTCTTCGTGAAACTGGTGGTTTTGGTCGCTTCCTTTCGATGAGGCGAAGTGGAAAAAAGCTGAAAACAGGTGCTTTTCTGGAAAGCACGGCTGTAGCCGGAGATAGAGTCATCGACCACACTCCACAACAGCCATTTTATTGCAACCTGTTTGAACAAGTGCGTTTATGTAGACTGGTGATAGACATAGAACATGGCTCCTTTAATAGATAGAGGAACATGCTTTGAGAAGCTCCATCTTCCATTCTTCCACAGTGCTGTTGCTCGTCGGACTGCCAGGATGACCCCCAAAGCAACATGCTATGGACTTAGGTGGTCGTCCATGTCCAGGTGGTCATGGGATCTCGTGACCCTTACCATGCGCGTCGCCATCTGCATCCCACCTCGTTGTGGTTGAAACACACCTCTTCATCGATGCTCAGATCGAATTCATCGAGATGCGTTCCGTTCTTTGGGCTCAAGGGGAACTTGGCCCTTTTCCGGTCCATCAGCAACTCGGCGGCGCGAGCTCGCCCCCCTGTGAGGCGAGCACTGGGGGAAACGGAGGTCTTGGTCTTCGGGTCGGGTCGCAGCCAGGCTTGGAGGTGACCAAGAGATGAAGCAAGAACCCATTTGAATCGGTAGAGGGACAGAGGATGTTACACGATGTACAGATGGATTTTCAGGTGTCTAAAGTTTTTCGCAGAGTCTTCAACTGAGAGAACGTCACCGACATCCAGTACTAAGTGGGTTTGCCGGCAGGATTATGGCATATGGCATTATGGCATATGATGTTAAATAAATATATACATATACTGTATATATATATATATACACTCCTGAAAACTAACATAGACCCTGACAATGGTAAGCTGGAAGATTGTTTTCCTCTACCAACCAGTGGTTTTCAGGGTTCATGTTAGTTTTCGGGAGTGTATATATATATATATATTGTTGCTGCACAACCAACATCCTTCACCCTCTGACATAGAGTATCCCAGACTTGTAGGAATTCTCATACTGCATGGTTCTGGAGAGCCAAAGGATTTCCCGTCCCGTTCCATAAAGTCCTCTTCCCCCGATGTTGTTCGCTCCTTATAATATCTTATAACCCCCCCCGGCTTGACATCTCCCAGGCTTACGGGGGGTTTGATTCATCAACAGAATGAACCACATTACAGCCTACCCAGCCCGGTGGAGCCCCACCTTCTTGGGGGGCTGACTCCCAACTCCCTCACCGATAAGCTTCGCCGTTGACTCCCGGGCGTCCGTCCGTGCGGCTCCAGGTGATGGCCTCCACAGATCCCAGGAAGATTGCCGAGGCCAAGACGGTCGAGTTGGTCGATGCTGAATGCTGAATGCTGACATCGTGGAACAACATGTGACCCGTGGCGAAGGTCAAAAATGGGAAGAGTCAGCGGTTTCAGATCGACTCCATTGACCTTGGTTTTGTTGGTTGTTTGAATACGCCGTTCCACACGTTGCAGAGGAAGCCTCCCTTCGCCAAAGGGTCCTCGTTCACCAGTTCCAAGCGAACGGGTGTCTTCTATTTGATGTGGTGTCATATGTGTTAAACAAACCATTTCTATCTATATAGTGAACATTATTTCGGATAACATCTTCACGACCATCATGACCCCCCTTACTTGCGGCGACTGGAGAGATGGTGGCATGCGAAAGCACGGTTCAGGACAAAAAACCTTTGCGGACAGCTCTCCAGCTGGAGACTTCGAGCTGGAAGAGACTTCCAGCTGGAGACGTCTCATTCTACTTGAATTGCTGGCACGTGGGACCTCCCCAAGTCCCAAGTCCCAAAGAGACTCTGAAGAGTCGAGACTCTTGAGGGATCAAGTTCAAGAATGCCACCCTGTTTGATGGGAAGCCCCAAACATCACTCATTCACATTCAAGACCAAGACATCGGACCCAAGACGTCGCACAGCTTTCTGGGGGAGTCTCCCTGATAGAGACTCAATACTGTACTGGGTGTGTCCACCGAGTCATTGGCCGAGGTTCGGGATGTCCACCGACTGGAGCGGATTGGCCAGAGCCTCAGCCAGCGGATTGGCCAACCACCCACGTGGGCCGGTACCTGGGACGAACATGTTGGTGAAGTCTCTGAAGAAGAAGAAGAAGAAGAAGAAGAAGAAGAAGAAACCATTCTTGGGTTTTCAGAAGCTCAGACCATTCTTGGTCTGGGATATTCTTGGATAAAATTTGAGCGTGGTGATTCTTGGCAATTAGATTGAAAGTCAGAAGTCATGACCACGCTCCACTTCACTTGGTCATCTTTTGAATGACACCAGTGCAAACCCCGCCGACGGCTGTCGCCCTCCCGACAAGGCAGGTCGACGGGTTGAATTTGGATTCCTCTCCGGAGCCAGGAAGTACACTCTGACCCACTCACATGAAAGTGGATGGCATAGGCCCAGGGAAGACCAGTTCGCTCTATGAACAGGGGGTGCCGTGACACGTCCGTGATTGGAAACTAGCTGTTGCTTCGCCGTTGACGGGAGCGACGGCGAGCTCGGGTCGCAGGGGGTTCTCCATTTTCCCGGAGCTGGATGGGTTGGGTCGTTCTCCAAGTCCAACCGGATCATCTGTACACTTCCTGAAATCCATG